TGCTGGAATCCGCAATTTAATAAAACCCAACTTTTTTTCCTTTATTTTTTTATTAATTTTTTTTTTAAAATCTTAATCTACAAGCAGTTTTTGGCTGTGTGAGGTCGTGCATATGGTACAATTGAACTGTACGTCATCAGTCATCAGTTGACGGGTATTTTTTTTTTTCAAATATAAAAAAACCTTTTTCACTTTTTCCGCCCAATTTTTTTATTATTGATAGAACAGGAAAATGATAGCTAAAATTGGTTCTTTCGAAAAATTACAAATGAGATCATTTACATACAGCCTTCAGTGGCACAACCGTGCGGATTGATGCTTTACGGTAGTCGAAAAAAAAAAAAGAAAAAGTATCAGAAAAAAACCGGAAGGCTTTTTCGCCTAAAAGATTAGCAGTATTTAATTTCAGTTTAGTCTGTTCGGAAGTTTGTCCATCTCAAGTTTATTATGCCAGTGCAAATCGAATATCTAGAGATCCCTTTTTTCATGCTTTTCATATGAAATATTTTTTCTATGATGGGCATCAACATTATCGCTACTGATTAAAATAATTAACAAAAATTGGAAAAGAACTGAAGAGTGAGAACCAAAAGAAGACAGAGGCCATAAAGTAACAGCAATTAGACGGATCCTGAACTGTTTGTAGATCAACTGGATGACAAACAGGTAGCACTTTTGAAGCACGGTTCTATTTCGCACATATAGTTAATATAGCGTATTTCCCTTTTTTTTGGCTGTATCAAAAATATTTTGGTACTGATACTATGAATGAATCAACATTAGTTACAGCGGAGGTAATTGTTTTCGCTATTAGAAGGAAGAAGAAAAACAAGAATTACATCAAAAACTACATCAAAGTTCCATGAAATATCGTACCGCTTGATCATTTTCTTTCCCTTTTTTTTTTTTTTTTTCATTACTTCGTCTTGTTTCTATTCATAGACTGGTCTCAGTCAGATGATCAAGTGACCAGTGGAAAACGGAAAAAAAAATTTTTGTTTTCTAATCATTTCTTTGTATGCTGTTGTTGTTGGCTTTTAGAATTGTTGGTAATTAATACAGTATTTCAGCAAAAAATATTGCTTTGTTGACGAAAAACATGTCATCTTTTGGAAGCTTTTTCCTTTCAACATTTTTTCTTCTATAAAAAATTTAATGATTATGATTGCAGTTGACGTTTAATGGCAAGAAATATGTATAAACTAAAATTCTTCTGTTCAAATCTAATGCTATCTTGAATGTTTGTTGGAATAGTCGTTTGATGACTCTCAAAACGATCATCATCATCGGTTAACTATCCGTCCGTCTATTTAGTGCAGTTCTTTATCAGATGATCTTTCAATATGTCGTTTTTTTTTAATGGTCATAATTGAAGCTATTTTTGTAACTGGAAAAAGAAGAACAAAGAAGGGAAAAATTTAGAACGGTGTGATAAGTTTCTAAGCTTTGAAAAAGCAATAGGGATTTTGGTGGAAGCGGGTCTCGGGAAAGTTGTCATCATTACTACAAAGCTTCATAACCATTTGCTTTTTTCCTTTTTTGTTGATGTTATAAAATCACCATATTGTAAATGTTAAGATATTTTAGAAGACTGTATTACATTGATCAGAAAGTTATTGGACCAGCAAATCTAGCTATACGTCAAAAATTCTAACCTGTTTTTAAGATGCTTGTTTTTTTTAGTGACTTTGTTACCAGCTTCTGTTACCTTATGTTTTTTCTTCCTTTTTTTTCCTACAACTTTTCTTTTGTTGTTGTTTATAAACGTTTTATAGATTTAATTAAATGCTATTGGAAAAGTGGCAAACTGATTGGATTGATAAGAAGAGAGGTAGAAAAAAAGAAGAAATTGTTGAACAAAAATAATAATTGTTTTTGTACCTGTTATTTATCTTCGTTGGACAAAGGGAAAAAACTAAATTGATTCTTACAACTGATATGTTTTTCTTCACTTTTTT